AGAGGTGCAAGTTCATCAAAATATCCCTTACATAGACATACACCAAAAGAAGAAACATATGCATATTAATCCAGTTCAACAAATTAAGCTAGTGGAAAAATGATGTGCATATTAAATTAGTGCTAAAAGGGAAGAAAGGCATTTACCAAAGCATAAGAACCAAATCTGTAAAATGGAAAACCCCTTCCCCSTGAGGTAGCCAGACTAGAGCTAAACTTTTGTTGCAGTTTAGTAACCCGAGCAAATATGTAAGTTGGAATAGTGGTAAAGGATGGAGGTAGAATTTTGCTTAGTTTTCTCTGGGCATGTTGGGTTTGGTAACTCTTTCAGAGCTGAAATGATGGCTGTAATCCAAGGCCTACAACTGGTGGCAAAACAGAAATAGAGAAATATGATTACTGAAGAGGATTGCCAGATAGCTACTTCATGGTTATGTTCAGATGAGGAGCCTCCTTGGTTGTTTCAGTTTTCTTGTTAGAGAAAATGAAGCCTGAATTGCTCATTCAGGTGGATTACTAGATCTGCAAATTGTTGGCCAATGGACTAGCAAAATCACTGGTGACAAGGAAAAGTTGTCTATGGGATATGCTGGGACCTGGGAATAAAGTGTAATCTGTTGGTTTAAAGAATTTAGTACATGCATTGTGAAAGCTGCTTTGTATGGTCCCTTCTGTCTAGATATGGACAGAGTGGCTTCCAATTTTATATTGAATGCAATACAATGCTGTTAATATCCCAAAAACCAACTTTAGCAAGAGCAATAACTTTGGAATTAATAAGATGGAGACCACTGGGCATTTCCACTTGCTTTGGGGTGGAAGCTCTGGAAACCTCCCACCATATATTGGGTCTTCCCCAAACACAAGTTACAGATCTTCCACCATTTGGGACTTGATGATTGGCACTTGGAGAAGTATCAAGCTGACAGGAGGAAAAGTTTCCACTTGGAGTGGATATATATATGGGAGAAAACCTACTAGTCCAGCAGTTTAGTAAGCTTTCCTAAATAACAAAGAACGTGGCATCTCATTTTGGACACCAAAATGGCCCCACATGTTTGCCTTGTCAGCCTCTGTTCATGGGAAAATTTAGCCTCAAAACACTTACAATATGTCAATAATAAGCCCTACTTTTGCTGCAAGCTTATATAGAAAAATATTAACTTTGAACAGTTGATATTTGTTAGAAAAATTACAAATACAAGATGGGGTACAGGGATGGTGTGGACTGGAGGATAGATTAAGCACCTGATCAATCAAAAAAGTCCTCTATGCAATGGACAGTTCAGACCTGTGACATCATCCCTCCATATGGCCAAGAGATGCTTCTGAAGATGAAGTAAGGGCCCTTCTTTCTGGTCTAAGAATTGCTAAAACAATGCGGATGGTCTCATTGCTAGTTAAGGGTGACTCCAGAATATGATTGGATGGATAACCAATCCTGAAACTGGCCCTTGGAGCTTCGCCATATCCTTTTTGAAATAAGCAAGCTCACATCCTTTCTTGCTGCAGTTTCAGATGGATACCTAGAGAGCTTTGTCGTGCCCCCAACCAAGGTTAGGCATGGGACAACACCACATGCTTACTAGCATGTAAAGTTTGTCTTGTGTGTAACCTTGTTTGGGGGCGTGACAATTTAGTGGTATCAAAGCCAGGTTGATAACCTATTAGAATTCACATAGGTTTGTGGTGAGCAGGGTAGAGGTTAGAAAATTGGAATGTTATTTGGATAGTTTAGATTTGTATTCATATCTTGAATTAATTAATTGGCTAGCTTAGAATTTTGAGTTCCTAAATATTATTAGTTTGGAATGCTTATAGTATTTGCAATTGATTTACACTTGGTGATTTTGTGGTTGAAAAAAAATATATTATTAGGCTGATATGGCTTCCCCTCATACAAAGAATCAACAGCAAGATGGAGATAATGGTTCCACTAGTAACACTGGGGATGGTAATGACAATCAAGTTTCCAGCTTACCCCGACCTAACTTTGAGAATGTTCCTGAAATGCATCAAATGATGATGCAAATGGTGGGATTGACACAACAACAGAATGCTGTAAATAATAACCTTTCTGCATTATTAAGTCAGCAACAACAACAATTACAATACCTTCAGCAGCAACAAGAATTGAATGTGGCATCTCGCATTAAAGAACATCGAGGGTTTACAGAATTCAAGAGAATGAATCCACCATCCTTTGAAGGTTCCACAGATCCAATTGAGGCTTAAAAATGGGTGCGGGAGATGGAGAAAATTTTCAAGGTGCTGAAATGTCCAGAAAAGAATAAGGTGACCTATGCTACTCATATGTTACAGGGAATTTCTCATGATTGGTGGATGACCCAAGAACAAATATACACAGAGAAACAAGAACTTTGCCCATGGGAGCAGTTTCAACGACTTTTATGAGCACTATTTTCCTAAAAGTATGCACCGACAGGAGAGAGAGTTTATTGACTTGGTACAAGCCACAAGGTGAGAAGACGGTGGCTGAATACGAAACAGAATTTTCTAAGCTTTCTAAATTTGCCCCTAAGTTGGTTCCTGATCAAGAAAGTCATGCTCTTAGATTTGAGGAGGGATTAAATCCTCAGATCAAGCAGATAGTTGCAGATTTTGAGCTTGATTTATGTTGAAGTGCTTAGCAAGGCATTAATAGTTAAAAGGGGTATTATGCAAAATCAGGATACAAATGACAACAATCAGAAGAAAAGATTAAGACCATCCGAGTCCCATGCCTAACCTTGGTTGGGGGCATCACAAGCTTAACCAAAGAAATGGCTCTTTATTAAATCTGGTTCTGAGAGGACCGTTTTGTATAATGCAAATAGCTTCCCTGATATTTGGTTTTTTTTTCTTTTTTGTTGTAAATGTTGTCTTTTTGTACATCCTCTCATGTACATCTTTTTTCTTGTTGAATGAAATGGTTTAAAAAATAAGATAGGGGGTTACATAGGTAAGACCCCTACTTGAACTGATTAAAAGGTCATTATTCGATGATGGTGTCAACCATCTGAAGCCTTGAGAGGGCAGATTGAATACAGACCTTTGACTTTTTTATTATTGTTTTCTTTTTTTTTTCTGGGCAAAGTGGTCAATCTCATAGTCACATTTGTCAGCCCAATATTTTACCACTGCACCAAGAAATGGTCTCTTCCCTACTTGACCTGATTGGGAGAGAATCATTTGGTTGACTGATGCTTAGTGAGTTACCCAAAAGGCTCAGAGCAGCAAGGTGTAGACCTTAGAACCATAGTTGTCAAGGCAACGCCTAGGCGATAAGGCACCCTTGGAAGCTAGCCTCGCCTAATCGCCAAACAGTTTTGTACTTTCTATTATAAAATACTTTTTAATTCTTTATTTTTCAAGATTATAATTATAAAATAGACATTATTAAACTAAAATATTCATTTTGTGTGCTTATATACTAATTTCTTTTTATTATTTTCTTATTTGTTAGGTTTAATCAACACAAACATTGCTAAATGCTGCATTGAACCCTCAAAGACTTCAAAACTTGAACCAATAAGTAGGGTAGAACTTAAAATTTTGTCTAATCAACACATTTTCTTCTTTCATATCTTCTTCTTCTTTTCTTCTTTTCTTCTTTCCTTCTTTTCTCTTCTACTTKTTCTTCTATATCTTCCATACCTTTTACTTTATCTTTTCTTCTTTTCCTATAACAAAAATAAGGGTTCAGCCGTTCAGCCTCTTCATTTTTTTTTTTTCAATTTTCTTTTCTTTCTTCTTTTTCTTCTCATGAATATGTTGATTTTCTATACTTTAACATGAACTTTATACTTTTCTTATGAAAATTATGAATAATTACTAAGGAAACATGGTTGTGGTACCTAGGGAACTACCCTAAGATCTATATTTTTTACATAAAAAAATCCATCGCCTAGGTGCCCCCTGTCGCCTAGTCTTGCCTTTGCGCCTTGAAAACTATGCTTAGAACTCCACCTATGATGAATGAAGCACATCTTGGTTTTATGGACTTGGGTTTAAGTCATAATGTTTGAAGGAAATCAACTAAGGGCCAATATGCCAATAAGACCCTGAGGTGGGACAGTTGGTGATGTGCCTAAGGCCTACAGGACTGGTGACAAAGTTTGACACCCTTGTCTGTGTCCTCAGTCATAACAGCACTCGATGATTATTGATTGAAAAAAATAGATACAGAAAATCTAAATGCAATATCGATCACAAATCTTTAAATCAAAAGTTCCCATCAATCAACTCATCAACTGTATCATGTCCTTGCTATATAACTTGAAACATAGCACTGTAACAGCATTTGAAAGCAAAAACACATACAGAGATGAGTATTGCAACACACAGAGACTAGTTAAACCTCTCCAAAGTTAAAGAACATTGTACAAGTTTCTATGTGCCAATGCAATGAAACATACTATAACTAGTTCCTCTAAGAAGAAAGAACCCAACAGATGTGCACAAATTATTTGTTGGACTCAAATAAGATGTGAGGAATCATAGCATCACTATCATGGGTCAGGACTTGGGCTCCTCTCAATCACATTTTTAAAATAATGATATATAATAATGAAAACAATCATGAAACTATTTAAATCGCTAAACAATAAAAAACAAAAAGAATGTAATAATGAGCTTCATCAATAAATATTCATTTTCACTACATGAACCAAAACAGGAGAATATAAATTATATCAGCAGCCTTAACTTACAAGATCGGGATGTTGAAATATGTGATGAGACAAATGACGAAGGAACTGACACTTCATTTCTCTTGTGAAGTCCAAGACTGGAGCCATAAAACACAGTAGACGTAGTTGACAATTCTGGGGCCAACTGTGGTGTGCTATGCAAGGGAGTATGATGTGTAAAAGCAGCATGAGGTGATAAATCTGGGGAAGATGTGTCATAATCAGCTGTTGGAGAAGGGCCTGGCATGATTGTCAGACCACCACATGGACCATGTCTAGGGAAACAAGATGGTATTACCAAGGGAGAAGGTGCTTTTTCCACCGAAGGAGGTTGTGGACAATGTTCATGAACTGGTGCATCTATGAGGGCATTATAAGATGGTGAACAAGTATCACAGTGTAAACAAGGTGAGAGTTGATGACGACCAGGTGATGGAGCAGGTGCATAAGCTGGAGATGGAGAGCCTTGAGAAGCACGGAGTGTATGGTTTAAGATAGATGACAAGCTTATCTCTTTTACATTACCAAAAACTAAGTAATTAAGGCCAAGATTCTTTGCAGGAGATCCTGTTATCGTCTCTGCTAGCTGCTTTAGCCTCTGTGGCAGAAGATCACGGCTACCTATATCTGAGAGAACAGAAGCTTGTACAGTTACAGGCGGAGTCAATGTTGAACCATTTTCGTTTGTCACTTGCACATATACATTCTGTATACCAAAAATACACTCGTAAACAAATAGTTTCAACATCCAGCTCCTACTGAATGTAGACTTTATAGAAAAATCATGCAAAAGATTAAAGCATAGGGAAAATACCTCATAGGATCTTAAATGCAACCCAAATCTTAGCTGGTCCTCGAACTGGCCAAAATTTTTCTGTATCTGAGAAACTGAATTGTATAGTGTAAAGTTGAAAAGAGTCTGCGGCATTTGCCATATTGAAGCAAAATTCCCAGGGACCACTGTGACTCCTCCAGGGAACATCAAAATTTGGAAGAAAGATGGTAGCCCAAAAATTGATGTTGTCAAGGACAAATTTGTTTGGCCAAGGACCAGCTCTACTAGAGATGATCTCAGAAGACTTAGGGAGACGAGATTTATTGGAACATTCTTTGGAATGGGAAGGAGACCAAAAACCACATTGGTACAGTTTGATGCAATAGATTGGTGCATAGATAGAATAGAAACCTGTGAAGAAAGTTTGCATGTCAAATTAATAGTAAATCATTTCAAATTTCAAAAATGGGTGATCAAAAACAAAACAAATAAAGCTTGAAACAGTACCATTGTGTTTGGCACTCCTATTTCCCCCAATATGTCACTCTCTAGTGTTTGAAGGTGATGAACAAGCACTGAAACTGGCTTCTGAAGTCTGAAGCTTGCTTGCACAGTAGCTGAGAAGAAGAACTGAGGCGTCAAAAGAAAACAAAGGATGACAAAGTAGAATGTCATTATATAGATGTAAATAAAAAATAAAAGATTGCCATCCCAAATTCATAAAGACCATAAAGCCTGAATTCATAATAATGATATTTAAACATAATTAATAAATATAAAGAATGACGGAACAATCCAATTCATTGTCATATTTTTTCTTGTTTTTCAGAAATTGAAATGTTATCAGCCCGCTTCACTTTTTTTCTTTCCTTTTTGAGCTTTGACATTGGTCTGGTAAAGAGGCCTATTACCAGCATCACAAACTCAAACCCAACCCTTCCAAGCACAAATAATGTGCTATGGATCTTGTTAGAATGCTCGAGTCAGGGGTATTTTGGTCATTCTGGTGTATCTTATTAAAAGTGAAAGGTCTATTGTATCTGAGTTTAAGTTATGTGTATCATCTTCTATGAGGGACAAAATTGTCTTTCTTGTAACTCAAGTTTTATGAATAAAAGTCAAGTGGGTCGGCTAGGAGAGTGATTTTTGAACATCCTCTCTTCTAGTCTGGCCGAACACTCTTCTCCTCTCCTTCTTCATTCTCTTTCCTTTCTTATTTCTTCTTCTTTACTTTGACCTAGAATCAACTAGGGTTTATTCACATGGTATCAGAGCATTAAGGTCTCGTGTTTTTCTTGCTGTTGTCTTCTTCCTGGGTTCGCCGCCAGCTTCACAGTAGGTTTCATCATCTTACAGCTGACCTGATTGAAGACTCAATAAAGGGCTGAAAAGGAGTTTCCGTTTTGAGGGCCTGGAGGTGAGAATGCCTCTGGCCGGTGCTGTGGTGGTTGTTGAAGTGGTATACTAGACCCTCTATTCAGTGTACGAAGAGGGCTGGACGTATACAGGTATGGGCACTGCTGTTGTGTGTTCAGAAATGGACTGTGAATGCTACCTTTTTTTTGTGTGCTTCATAAGTTAGCTGTTGTGGTGCTGGGTGAAACTGATACACATATCAGTCTTTTTTTTTTTGTTTTCTTACTCGCATGTGTGATGAAAGAAGAGTAGTAGACTGCTGATGTCCACGACAGCAGTGGTGTGGTGTTGATTGTGTTGTGGTGGCTGACATATCTATGATTCTAAATGCTT